AGCAATTTTCAAGAAAACAAGCAAGAGAGTAAAAATGGTTTTCTGAATAAAGATAGAAGCATTTTAAAGTTCCTTGAGCATGTTTCTGTTCTGCATTTTGTGAGACTCAAATTATTTTGAAATCATAATGCTTTCACACATTAGCTTGTTCTTTCCTGACTCGAGCCCCTTTGGGAGTCTGCAAATCCTAAGCTATTGATTATAACATTATCAGGAGTGGATAGGGCAATACAGAAGTAAATGTAACAAGTACTGTAATTATTGGAAAAGAGACAGTCTTACAGAATAGGCCAAGATATTTTTACATATAGGAAGAGGGGTGCCTGATTTGTTGTGTGTTAGCATTCAAATTATTTGAATAGTAGAGAAAGTCCTTTACAAATATTTTTCTGTTTCAGAATTGTAGTTTGCTATGACTTGCAGGGTTATCAGTTACCCACTGTTACCTTGACAGCTACATGAACATGAAACTGTCATGTCTGCAAATCCTGAAAGTGTTATGATTCTCCATATGCATGAATGAGAAAATAGAGCTATCTTTATTATTCTGCTGTGTTTCCAGAAGTGAAAAGTACACACTACTCTTCCAGGATAACTCTATCCCTACAGGAAGTAATACAAGCAAGGCTGTGGCTTTACAATTCCACTGAAGCATCTGGCAAGTAAATTTTGTTATACACAGTACCCTTAGATGACCACTCAAACCAGATGAACAACAAATAGCTTAAATTCATTTGCCAACTTTGGCAATACACACACACACACACACACACACACACACACACACACACACACACACAGACATTGTATTTATGTGCAAATGCACAGTAAGGCCTTTATTAATCTTGAGCTGGAAGTTAAAATAGGTTACAGGAGAAATTCACCAACAAAGATATTAGAATGGACTCAGACACAGAAAAAATAGATCTGTATAAAATAAAGCCTGATAACAGACAACCTTATACTGAACTTGTTTAATCCAGGAGCAGATTTACTGGTGGATGATGGGGAGGGGGATGGAGACTAGCCCTCCATGTGGCACATGCTTCGAGTCACGTGGAAAGGGAGCAGCTGTGCAGCCTCTCCAATCTGTCCCATGGCTGTGGTGAGCTCTGCTTAATCCGTGGCAGATTTATAACTTGGCCCAGGTGGGACCATGTGAAAGCAGTCCATCAGAACTCTACAGCCAGGAGCAATTGTTTAAAATTAAGACCATGATCATAGAGATGCACCCTTGGATCAATTAATAAAACTCCTGCGTGACTCTGTACCAGCCTGGAAGGACAACTTGTCTGAAGAGGGCTTTCGTGAGGTCCAGTCCATGTGACATGATGACAAAGGCACTGAGGGCCTTTAGCCTCAAAGAGACCGAGACTACAGGAACTACCATATTTATGAGACCAACAGGCCATGTCCTCTTGTATCCTTTCTCGAACCACGGTCAGCAGCATGTGCTGAGAAGTGTAGGAACAGAGCATGTGTAGAAAAATACTTCTCTGCTATGCTTTCCCAGTTTCTAGCAATCAGTGTTTTACAGACTTACTGTGCTGGAAGTCATGCCCAGATTATCACGGATAACTGTAATCAGTGGATCTATTCTTCATTAGTTTATCTATCTATCTGTTGTGTTGTTGAACTTACATATGCTTTTACCCTCTACCTCATCCTGAATTACATGGTTAAAGATGTTGTGCCCAGTAATCTTGTACTCTCAGAAATGGCAAGTGTTATTCTCTGCAGTATTCCTGACTTTATATCTATCTTTTTATTTCTATCAGTGGTGCTTAGAGACCTGCATTCCACCGAGGTGCTGGGCCCAGCTCCTTCTACATAATGTGGCTTGAACCAGCAGCGAGTGCAGATGTTCTGAGATTAGTGGAAGTTTGCAATAGTGATGAACAGCAAAATGATGATTTCTTCCAGTAGAAGCAAATGGATATTTTCTTTGTCAAATTTTTACAACTGAGAACCATGAAATGAGATAAACTGAGGGAAGTTATGGAAAGACCCTCCTGGAAGAGATAATTCTGTGACAGAGGGAAAGGGATACAGATATTTCTATGACCATTTTCTAGGCGAACACAAGGTCAGCTGCTTAAACATGGGGGATAGATTTATCTAAGAGCTTCTCCTTTTGAATCAATGTTGAATCAGTGTTGAATTTAGGCCAGTAATTAGTAAAATAAATTAAAAAAGGCAGCCGCAGGTTATACTACAAAAAAACTGTCATTAATATCTGACATAATGGCAGAAAAGCTTATGAAGTATCTTGGCGCAGGTTTGCTTTTCCTGTACTAGGAGGGTACTCAAGAGAGGAGAGAAGATAAAGTTCTTTCTTAGACTGTAAAGAGGCTAGAAAGCTTAACATACTTAAAATTGCTTAGCAAACATCAGCAAACTCTAGCTTACAGTAAGGCCGTTTCTGTGCAATCTGCTGCCACATTTTGCTTTGGGCAGGGAAGACAGCGTTTCACGGTGCTGGTTGTCAAAGGCGGAATAAATATACACTAAAGTGTCAGTGGGCCACCCACTTTGTGGAAGAAAGTATATCGTCATGATGCCTTTTGTAGCAGAGCAAGTAGAGCCACAGTGACAAGAGGTGCAGGGGATATGGTATGTTGCTTGTTTTATGGGAACAAATACTCCTCAAGCTTTAATTCTCTTTGTTGCACAAAAGTTGACACTTCAGTTAATTTGGTGTTCTCGTCAATATTTCGCCCTCTTGGGTGCTGAACACCTCTCTCTATTTCTCAGTGTATAATGGCCAACCTAGTATGTATGTATTGTTGAGACCTGTCTAATACATAATATGCTTATTTGAAAAGCTACTGCAGGCATGAAGGATGGTGCAGTTGCCTAAAAAACTACTGTGAAGTCTCCTGTTTCCTTTTATATAACTCTATTTGTCAAGCTCCCTCAGATGTAAAATGTATTATTTTATTACTTGAGAACAATTAAAAATCCAGATTTTCTTTGGCTCTATGTTTTTACTCATCCCATTAAATGTTGGTCACCTGGACATTTTAATCAGGATTATGGTGTCTAATGAGATTAGTTAGATAACGCTTCTTGTTAATTAGGGTAGCGTATCCACTAGACTTTTTCTGAAGAGCATATTGATGCTTGAAGCAGAATGCTTGGGAGGACAAATGACTATGTAAGACCAAGGTCAGAGGTAGGATCCTGCAGGGTGTATGAGAATGCAGACTTGAGTGTTACATGGCAATGTTTTTAACTAGCATATTAAAAAGGCATTAATAGAAAAAAACTAGACCTTTTTATAAGAATAATTGTATCTTTTGAATCTGAGAAAAGGATGTGCTATAGGGAAAATAAAAAATAAAATGACATTGAGAAAGCTCATTTAAAAAATGTTAGAAAATAGCTAACTAATCTGTTACTCTGAATAGTTTTGAGTTGGAGATGCGTGCATTCTGCCAGGCACCATAACTGCTTGAGAGAGTTTCAATGGGCTGCACTTGTGACCCATATATATTTTCTATCTGTTTAGGGTTTTCCATAATCTTAAGTCCAGAATTTTCTGTGGTTCCCAAGAAGCCAGAAAAGAAAGAGGTCCTGATTCTTTACTTAGAAAGAAAATTCAGAATAGTGGGATGAAACATAGTATAGTAAATGCAGGCTGGATATCTGGAAAGATGTCGTGATAGTAAGATAAATTAGACTGTAAAAGAGTCTGTTGAAAGCCAGAGAGTCATTTAAACTAGGCAGAACAAAGCAGCCTGACATATACTGTAGAGAACAACCCTACACTCACAGGGGAGAGACAAGATGATATCATAGGTCTTTTCCATCATTTATTTTCTAATGTCTATAATCTGTGATAAAACATACTTTTATGGAGATGGGCCAATGTTTTTAAGCCTAGACACTGACACTTGGATCTAGTTTAAAGAAGTATACATAATCAGTCACAGGGAACCTTTCCAAAACTCTAAGATATGATACAAAAGGAGCTCAGAAGTTACTGTGTTGAATAGACAGACCATGCTTAAAAAAGCAGGAGCTGCCCAGGAGCCTGTGTTTGTACAGAATTGCACCTGAGAGCTCTATTTTCTGTTGCCTGCTGTGTATGTATTACCATAACAGAAATAATAATGATTAGAAATAATAGGGTGTTGTTTTTGTGATATTGATAACTGAATCTAAAGCCTCTGACCAAACCTGCATGTGGATCTTGCAAACCATGGTACAGTTTTAGAATCTATGAAAAAAAGATTTTGTAGTACCAGAGTTCATCCTTTCCAGAGCCATGAGACGGCACATCCACCATTTTCCAGTGTCATAAGAATTGACACCATCAGCTGCCGAGAAAAAATGGCTTTTGCTTGCCAAACATGACCAGCATAATCATAATGTTATCTACTGGACTGAATATACAATGTACATGAGAATGAGAATATACAATAAACTTGTATTTTTTTGCTCATAATATAATATCAGTATTTTCTCCTCGGCATTATAGACAGCAATTACAAGTATCAAAGGCAATATGTACTGCAGCTAACCATACACAAAACTTCCTTACACTCTTTATATTGATTCTTTTCCTTTATTAAATGAAATCTAACATGTACAAGCAGAACCTAATTAAAGAAAATTATGTTTGTCTTGCATAAAACTAACCAGTTCTATAAAATCTATTTGAGGATAAAGAAGAACTGGTAATTAAACATAAGCACAGCCAGTCAAGGAATGAAAGTTCCAGGCTATGTATTTACAGTGGAAAGAGATCATATTTTGTTAGGGTGGAGTCTTCCAAAGCATTCAGCCCAGATTCAGACAGCCATGTATCAATATGAAAGACAAAGGTGAGAGACTTAGATGTAACTTTCGCCGTGTGAATTCAGAGCTATCTCTTCTCCCACTTAGATCAATAAGAGGTGTACATTGATTTAAGAGGGAGTAATACAACACGTTTTTTAAAATCTCACTCATGGCATAGATGTAATGCATATCTTGTTTTATTTCTGAAATACCAGGTCTGGACCGCTGCAGGAGGCAGCATGAAGGATCAGCAGTGTTGCTTGGCATGGCGTTCACTGAGGGTCATAGCACTCATCTTCTACTCCGGCTAAACCTCTGTCGTATGATTCAGCAGCGTGAGTCACAGGTTACTTTCTGAAACAGGCTAACCATTCTTATCCTTCTCAGAGTATTTAATTTGGATCATAATACTCTATTATCAACTTTGCAAGCTACAAGTACAAAGTGGTTGGTTAGCGTTTCACTGTCTGCATGTATCTATTTACCTAATAAAAACTACACAATATTGCTAAAAATAATTCAGATAGATAGAAAAGATTGAGCCTCATCATCTCAGTTATTTAGAGTCTGATTTTATGTTTTCACTCTATTTCAGTTCCAGTACCAGTGAGATACCTTAAAAATTATTTGTTGTTTTGTTCTTACTTTTCCAGTAAAAGAGTAGCGCCAGAATCAAATGCGTTCATATATTAGTGGGATTTAAAGGTGTTTTCCCTGACCTACCTATCACAACATAGCTAACCATAAAATGTGTGCGTTTCAGCTTGTCATTGCCTGAGAAACACTTAGCAGTTGCTGTATTTCAGAGTGGAGAATCCCTGAATTCCCTCAGAAGTTGCAGCTGATACAGAGTACAGATAAGTTAATAACGCCACACTCAGGGGACACATGACAAACAAAGTCGCAGATGTAAACCCTGGACTGACTTCCACGTGTTTCTTGGAAGCCATTCAAAAGGTTGATTATAACCTACTGAGCCTCGTGCTATAGCCTTTGAGAGATAATTGAGTTTCAGTATGTTGTGGTGGCCTCTGTTTTTTCAGCCCTTGTCTGAGGAGGATGAGGAATATTTTAGCTCAGCTTAACTTCAAATAGGGAGGGGCAACACTGTTCGTGTATTTGGTGATGTGGTTTACACCAGGTTTATGGCATCTGGCTCACACAGTCAAAGCGAAGGGCAATTTCAAGATGTCAAGATACATGAGCAAAATTTATTGCAGAAAGAATGTGAGCTGGCACTTGCATTAGTGCTTCCTAGTAATTAATAGCATATCTACAATCTTGCTGGCTCTTGTAACAATCTCCAGGCTTGAGCCAGAGCTTCTGCTTTCCTTTCTGCCTGTCCCGACTTTAAGTAACTATCACATCCCACCCTTCCGAGCAGTTGCGGAGGAGACTGTTTTGGCTGGAATTAGACAGCCCCAGATGGTACTCTAATGCTCAACACCTGCTATGACTCCTTTAGTTCTCGTTATCTCTGCCACAGCTTTATACATGCCTTTTAGCAGTTTGTTCAGTGGAGGAGGGAAAGGGAGGAAGACTCACCATGGAGCTCAAAGCAAAGACAGGGTTATGGAATTTGCTCTGCATTTCCCTGACACACAGTTTGCACCATAGTGAGTGTGAAGACTCTGGGAGCCATGGTCCACTCCCTTGACTGAGTTATTTCTTTTGCATACTGATCTAACAGAAACTGAACACTTGTATCTCAACAGAAATACTTTATTTGGCTACCATGGCTCCTCTGAAACTAAAAAATATTTCATGGATTTACTTTTCCATACTCCCTGCATTGCTGCAGTTATTGAAGACATTGTGAGCAACCATCACTGAAAGACTTTGCCAAAATTATATTTATGAAATAGCTCCATGTTGACGTTAGTTTTAATGAGAAGATCACATCTGTACAGCCGCCTTTTAAAGCATCTTTCAATAGGTACCTGAAAGCTCTGTTTGGCTAGACTACATCTTTCCCACCAAGTGCTGAGGATGCAACTGATATTGCTATGGCTTACGGAGAGGAGATTGAAGCAATAACGCAGCTGCTTCCTGAGGTGGTCATAGAAAGATCAGCTTAGTGGACCTGACCTGAGTTATAATTAAAGTATTCTATTCTATTCTATGGATCTGTGGTTGGGACTGATAAACAGGGAGATGTCTGTCTGGTTCTCCTAATAGACCTAGTTTAGTGATATCTGAAGTTTGCCAGATTGATTTTATTTCAAGGGGATATACATTTATCATTCCTCCTGGCCAAACAGTGTCTCCAGAGCAGGCCAGACCCTCAGTTACTGCAAACCAGGATAGCATCACTAAAACTATTTTACCCAAAATGAAAAGCTGGGGTCACCTGAAATGTGCCAGGTTTGACATACAACAGTTTGTGGATGAAATGTGCCCTTGACATCTGAACCTAATAACATTCTGAAAAGGAACAGGCTGTCTGCAATCAATTTTGACTGCATTCTGTGCACATTGGCAAAAGGATAGCAATCCACAAAACAAATACACATTCTTAACTAGCACAGGGAAAAAAAGGGCCACAGGATCAGGAGACTGTGACATGCTTTCAGGGCATCTGTTACATTTTCAGTACACATTATCTGATCCCCTGCTAGCGGATCCAAATATCTGATTGTTGGAGACAGCTCAAACAAGTTTTAATCAATAAATTAAGAAATGTGTTGAGAAGAAATTTGGCATAAGAACTTTAGTTCCATCAGAAAGCAGTCATTGCCTGGTTTTATGATTCCCAGTGCTCAAGATGGTGTGTGAAATGGTAGAATATCTTTTATAGCCAGTGTGATACTTTAATATCAAGAAACACTAAAACAACAAGTTTCAATATCTGCTCAGAATAAGTCTCTTTAGACCATGGAGTTTGTTATTTTTGATCATTTTACAAATCCTTTATGGGAAAAAATATTTTCCCTCCATACATTATACTCCAATGAAAGTATTTTGCGCAGACCAGGACATTAGACAATATTGCCTGTATACATATATAGTGTAGTAAAGTCACGAAGGGGTTGTCAGGTGGTATTCTTTCAGAGTTCTCCATTTTATTTGCCTCAGAAGTGGTCGTAGCATGTCATTAAGATTATATCAGCCACACTGGATATAATCAGGGTTACTTGTTGATGAGTACTGGTGGTGTGTATCATGGTGGAGACGTATAAGCATAGCGCTCAACTAATTTACTCTCAGATTCCTGTCGGGGAAAATTAATGACTCCCATGACTAATTATGATGCAAGAAAGCATCCAGCCACTGCTGTAATAGAAGACTCTTTACTTAGGCAATAATCATGCAGAAGGACATGTTTGGTAGCCAGACAACTTACTTTTTGTTATCTCTCCTGAGCAGAATAAATTCTTGAGGCCGAGTTTCTTTCATGGAACCAGGCACTGGTGTTGGGCTGACATGCTGGAAGGAAGAGATTGCTTTGCATGGCTTGTAACTCTCTTTATGTCAGGATAAGTATGTGCTTACATATAAAGCATATTACACTTAGAATTCCATGGATGGGATCCATCTGACTAAACTATGCTGTAGATATTTATTTGCGCTATAGATACCAACTTCTGAGTGAGTCATGCTGGCGTCTGTTATAGTCAAGAGAAAAACAGATGCTACTAGCACATAATTCATCTCATCCTAAAGTAAATGTCAAAAATAGGTCAAATGGATGGCACCCTTAAAGTGCTATGTAGGGATACATGAGAAATATATGGAATACAGTTACTGTTGGGAAAAGAGGAAGGAGTTCATGTGCTTGTTTTACATGACTTGGAAGTGAAATGAAATCTGGTCCTTCTAAACTGTCAGCACTAAATTACTCATAGGTCTTCAGTCCTCCAGGGGCCCCACTGATTTCCAGTCCCAGTTCTGGTGTCTCAATACACTCGTACTGTATGAGTAAGACATAGACTCTATAAATGTCTATGGAAATACCCCTTTTTAAGAACTGACATCAGTGCAACGTCATTCATGCATTTTTTACTATTTCAAATATTCTGCCAAATTCTGGGGATGTTATCCAGGTCCTCTGAAGGCAAATAGGATCTCCCACCTAGTTCAATGTATTGTGGGTGATCAAATCTAAAATATAAAACTACAGCCTCAAAAGTGAACTCTAGAGCTCCTCAGTGAGTATTAATTTTATCCACATTGTATTGTGCTAGCGGTTTTCTTTCTTGGTCACATGTTGCTGTTTATACAGGCTTTTGCTTAAATATAGTTTAATCCTGTGCTCTTTTTCCAGCTCCTGTGCCAAAAAAAATCCATGACCATGAACTATATAGGTTTGCCTTTTAATAAGGTTAAGTCAGTTGAGCAAAGTTAAGATTACTGGCAGGCCTGGTAAGACTGAAACACTTGAAGTCATGTTATCTGTTATCACTGAAGTCACATGTGAAATATAAGCATCTCCTGGAAGGTGTTTGTGAATTTCCAGAACAGCTTGATAAAAGTTACCTTGCATTTAGCTTATAGTCCAAGCCAAGCTAACCCCGTCTCCCTGGAAGTAGTTTTTTGACCTTCCATACACGCATAACCTTTTCACTTTGTCATAAAGTCATTAAGTTCAAAGATCTCACTATCTGAAGACAAATTCCACAATGCCAATAGACTATTTGTTCTCATGTGAACCTCATCTTCTCAAGGTTATCGTGACTTATGCTAATAGATTTCTGGGATGTTCTTACGTTTGTTCAGTTTTATAGTTTTATCACATTTTTGGCAAACAGTTTTAGTATTTATAAAATACATTGTGTTTACATGTACATTACTATTCTTTTCTCCTGACAATTGTTTCCAATTTCCCCATTTTTAATTATCATCTTGAGGGCCTGCCACAACCAGATCACTTGCTTCTTGATTACTACTAGGTCTGTTAGCAAGCTCTTCCTGACAGACTGCACCCTCATTAGCATACAGAATATTTCTTAAGTCTTCTTTGGGTATTATGCTAACAATTTACTTTATACAAACATTTATTCAACTGAGAATTTGCTAGATATCGCTGTGAAACCGGTGTGTTGAACTAACATGTTTGTATTCCTGTTTTGCATCCAATTTCTGTTTATTTTGATTTGTTCTTTCTGTTCTTCTTTGATTTGGGGGGTGATGGAAAGAGCCATATTCACATGCTCACTGCATAAATTGTTTACTTCAGTGCTCACTGTTTTCATAAAGCAATTGGCTTTCATTATGCTTCTAGAACTTACAAAGCAAAATATATCAGTTAAATACAAAGCAATTTCAACTGTGCTTTGGCTTTTCTAAAGAGGAGTATGCAGAAACTTGCTAAGATGAAGCTGAAGTCATCATCTTCCAATGCCAATGATTTGAAACCATCCCTTTGGTTCATTAGAAACCCTAGTCCGAAGGCGAGTTCAGTTCTTTGGGTGTGTTTTATGTCAAGGCCTGTATAAAATGGAATACCTCATGTTTATATCCCTTAAAATATTATTCTAGCCTTTTTTAAAGTGCCTATTGTTGTCTAGTGTTACAAATGAGATATGCTGCAAATAACCTTTTTTATTTGTATAGATGTCATACTTCATTTCACCATTGACCTTGGTGACTGGCACAGCTAATGTCTTGCATTAACCTACCACCAAGTTACCAAACATTTTAATTCTCCTTTAGTATTAGAAGACTTCTTGCTCTTTATTTTTGCTTACTTTACTTTATGAGTTGTCTTATTGTAATTTTTGATAGCAAATCATTGGAAATATGTATCTATAATTCTGCAACTTTCAACAGAAGTGTTTACTGAGTTTGGCCGGCATTTTTTTCACTAAACAACCTCTTTTCATTAACATGAGCTGCTACTCATTTACTATCTTGAGGATGAAAAAGAGTACTTAGTTGACCTGTAGATCTTTTTTATTGGAATTTATCTAATAATGGGTGGGCAAATCCTGAAATGCCTACCAAATACATAAACATGCTATTTTTACCCTTTACTTCAAGATACTCTCCACCATCACAATAACTTCTGGATATGCCAAGGCATTAACCACTTGCACATTTGCGTTAAAAAATATAGGCTCGTGGTATGCATGCTCTGTATGTTCTAAAATACTCTAGTGATTTCAGTACTGAAAGTTATCAAGATTATTTGAGTTTAATTAATAGGCCGAAGATCCTGAAAGGACATTGGAATGACTTAGTAGATAAAGGACAGAGTTAAAAAAGAAAGAAGAAAAAAGGTCTTTTGAAAGAGAAGAAAATATAGACAATGCAGCAATGGATCACAAATAGCTGTCTCTCTTAAGTATTTCCAACACTGAATGTCTTGTTATAGATCACAAAATAAAAATGTCACAGTGAGTTATAATATACGCACTATTCACTCTTCACTGAACCTGGCTGGCACTTAGGCGCTTTGTTCCAGCTCAGGATCTATCCTCTTCAGATTAAAGAGCTATTAGAACTCACTATTTATTTAAAAACAGATTAATGATACTGCTCCTGTTTTCTCAAAGGCAGACTTTATTCTGCCCAGTGTAAGTTGTAAAAAATTCTGGTCTTGTTGTCCTAGCTGAATGATCAAAGATACAAAATCATCCAACTTTGACATAAACCAGATGCCATACTTGAGCTAAAGTTTCATTTGATATAGGTTTTTTTATCTACATAGTTCTGCTGATAACGATACAGAATGTCAGAGATAAGAAAAATCAAACACCTGTGATTTTTGCTCAGACTGTACTCTGTTCTGTTTGATATAGCTGGAAAATAGCACTGTAAATGGTAAAATCAAAAATTTCATTTGCTTCCTGATCAGCTATTTACCTCTTTTTCATTTTTTGTCAATAATGATAGATTAAGTATAAAGAGATTATTTGAGGTAATAGCATATAATTTCTTTCTCTGGCACTGCCACACTTCTTCATTCTTGTCATCATCATCATCACCATCATCGTAACATTTGCCAGATATCCTTCACTCACGAAGCCTTTCATGTAGTCTTTTTCCCAAGCTGCCTGGAGTCAGTAACCTCTGCTTTGTTCTAGCCTCTGGTCAGGCTACGTCTATATTGCTGAATAAAGTGGAGCTAGAGAATGGTCTAGACCTGGGTCTTAGCTGGCCATGTTCACACTACATAGTGTTTGGCCCTAGTCTCCTTTGGGTCCCAGGCAGTTCTTCTGGCTCACAAGATAATTTTTTGCATTCTTTTTGTGTTTTTGGTTCAAGGTATGTGAAATATATGTATGTCCACTGTTTTGCAGCGTACTGAAGTGGTGTCATCAACATGAAACTGAGGTGAGGGTACAAAGCCAGGTGAGGGTACAAAGCCTACGGAGATAGTGTTGGAGGAGGTGTGTATACAGTATTGTCCATGCTGCCTAATGGATTCTTAGTGCAGTACTATAGATGTTGCCCTCTTCTTTTGTGAAGTATTGTGCTGGCCCTAAAAATAATAACTTAGCTCTTTGTTGCCCAGTAAATATAGCCTTAATTCAGAAAAAGAACCTCAACATATTGCTTTTCCTTCTCTACTGGCAGGTTACTGGGACCCAAAATAGAGCTTTAAGCTGAAAAGAATGCACTGTTATTAGCTGGTTCTGGCTGCCAAACAAGAAACCATCATTATTATTCTTTCATCTAAGTTTCCCCACGCTGCTCCAAAATGGGATCTTCTGGCAGCACTATGCGAGAAAACTTGCATCTTGACTTCTGAACCTCCTGAACAACTCCACAAGAAGTAACAGCTCCTGACAAGACCAGCGAAGCCTGTCCGGTGACACAAGTCTCTTGAATGCACACTTTTGACCTTACCTGTGTCTTTACAACCAGTTTTTCTAAATCATGTGGAAATATCTGTCAAAATCTTCATTCAAAAGGGGTTTCCTGTCTCCATTTCTTTTCACGTTGTGTTTATTGTTCTGTAAAATTAAAAGTTTTCCTCAGCAATTTTTTTCCCTGTATATTCACCAATGCTCTTTTTTTGCGCTCAGACATGAGGATGTAATCAGCTGTATAGCCCTCCATATTTACTGCTGCTCAAGCTCTTTCTGTGCTCTCCGCTCAAGCATGTGCACATTTTTAAAGACTCGCACTGCATTTACTCCCCAGCATACAGCCAAAGGTGGGAATCCTCGCAGTCAGTTAGAGCCTCTTGGAGGTGGAGGTTTACCAGAAGAGAATGGCTTGGTTGGCTTTAGCCTTTCCCTTGCTATTGGCACTGGATCATGCAGCGCAGTCCCCTGCTTTGCACAATGTGGTCAGTGCTACGTTGCTCTCCCATTTAGTTCACAACAACATCTGCCTGAGGGAACAGATGTTATTGAAAGTGGACTGGGATAAGAGCACTTCTGATGGATGGCATCATTATTTTTATTTTCCCACGGGTGAAGATTGAGGGAAAAGAAGAATGCGTGTTGCCTGCAAGGTACACCTCCTCCCCTGTAAGCAGAAATTATTCTTACAATGGACCATTACTGAAGCTCGATGGACTATATTTAAGTGACAAACTCACGTATCTCTGCGTTATCTTTATGTTCAGAAAGAAAACAAATTCTCCCTTCAGATAGAAAGTAAAGGATTCAGTACCCATAGCAAAGGCACTAAACCCAGCAAAACCCTTCCTGTGAGTTCAGTTGGCTTCAGACAAAGAGAACGCAGCTGTTTCCACTCTTCTCTTTGCATGGGCTGGTTCAGACTGCTGAGATCTAAACCACTGCTAGAGATAATTTTTCTGGTCAGAGCAATCGGCAATGAAAATAGCAAATTCTACCTACCAGGAGGCAGCTCTCTGCTATGGCTGGGGAGCGTCTGCTTTCCAGGACCACTCAGCTTCAGCTAGAGCTGCGATATATCAGCCCATGGCTACCTCACTGACGTGGCAGTATGTGTCAACAAATCAGTGTTTAAGAAAACTATGAGCAACACATTCTTTAATCTGATGCAGGGCTATCATCTCTGCCAGTAAATTATATTCATGCAGAGTGAAGACAGTCAATCTTTAAGGATCATTTCTTCAAGGTGCTTTCAACTGACCACTAAATCCATATGCTTAAGTATTTAGGGCTAGTATTTTATATGTTTACTTTCTTGTACACCAGACTATTGCTTATAAGACAGGATATCATTGCTGTCACATTACCTCAAAAATATATGCATTAATTAAAATATGTTAATATATATTAATATATATTAATATATGCATATAACATTCCCAAAGGTCAAAATATTTCCTCACATCATGTTTTTAGAACCAGATCTTACAAATGGGGCCAGTCTCACATATGTACAATTAAGAAGCTGAAGGAAGAGTTAAACCGTGAAGTCAGTGATTTCACTCACTAGTCAGAGATTTTTTCTGACAGACATCAGAATAATAGAGAATCTGAAGCTTAGTTTTAAATTATTTTAAATCATTTAAGTGTCATTTCGGGGCTGTCTGTGTGTCTGTGAAGAAAGATATCCTGATATCACATATTTGAAATGCACATCCTTTCAAAATATTTTCACTTTACTAAAACTGATACATTGGTAATTCTTTGAATTGTTCATAGGGTCAAGTGTTATAAAATAGTCAAAACCATTTGTAAGACACTTTATATAGAGAGAATCTCTTAATTTGCCATGCAGGATGGCTGTAGAAAATATATAAAAGCCTTATCTGTGAGGAGTTTTTAAAAACTATCTGAAATAGGCCTGCATCCAACTGAAACTGAGGCAATGAAAGAGATGTAACTGACAGAGATAACAGGCTGAGGGAGAGTAAGTGAAAATTGATCAGTTGATGAATTGATCAGTTATAAGTGAAATGCAATTGTCAAGCCTCCATGACAACTTTGTTGACTATCCTCGAACTGTGGTTTGTCTTACTCATGTATGAGTCCTCACATGCAGATCTGCTTACCTTGTAGGAACAGGCCTGCCAGGAAGATTTGCACTGGGAACAAGTACACACACATATACTTATTATATGTATACACACACACGCACACACACACACACACACGCACACACACACACGTTCCTATCTGTGGCATAAAAAACCTGTTTGCATCAGACAGCCAGGAATCCCAAGGAAATGAATGGCAATCCATTTATTTGCTTATTCCAGTTTTTCTCAGTCTTTCTCTGCCTCACACATAGTCCTAAGCTTGATATCTGCCTTCTATAGGATCTAGAATTTCAGCTCTAGACCATATCTTTTGGTGGTCATTTTATTTTTAGCAGTACCCCAATTAAAAGCATTGCATGACAATCCACACAAAATGGCAAATATGTTGAATATGTTCCTTGCCAACAGTTCGAGGCTGCTTTGCTGTTCCCTTGACCTAAGCAGAACAACTTCACTGACTTGCAGTAAGGTCTTGCTGTTGGATGAAAGATGAGACCGTAAGGCTGTTCCCCTCTTCCTATGCCCAGATATATATCTAAGACTCATCTCATCCTATCAAAATTGCCCTTCAACATGGTATTTACAGCCCATAGCATGCGTCCCTGCTTATGGGAGGCATGTTGGTTTTGTCTTGTAAAACTAAGATGCTAAGATGCTGTTTGGCATCTCAAACAGCTGGCATATATATATGTGCATATATACTCCAGACTAACCCTCCATTAAGGAATATGGGCACATGTAGTAGGACTTGCATCCCACACCAAGGCCAGTTCATACATATGTAGATGAAGGCTTATTTATAAGAATAAAATATCGTCAACTTGGCTGCAGCACACCAATCACAGGGGCATTTCATGGACACGTGCTTAGACAAATATGTCAGGACCCTTGTATATTCATGCTGGTGATGCACTCACATCCTGCAGTGTCGAATGTCATAGGAAAGCCCATAGCGAATAGTATGCAGTAAGAGCCAAGCTGGACTATGCGTTAAACAGCCAAGATGAAGCAAAATAGTGAATAGCTTCTAGTTAAACAGGCAATGTCCATTCTGTGCACTCAGTGAGGCAAGGGAAAAATAACATAGGATCATGAAATACAAGAGGGAATCGTAATATCTCCATTTGAGGAAGCCTAGAAATTCAGCCTAGAAATACAATCATATCTGGAGTTTTTTAACTTCTGACTGCTTGGCTATGGAACCTTAATATGATGTTCTTCTACCTCATGGTTTGTTTGACCGTGTGGATGTGCAAATGTATCAAGGATGTGTGAAGGAATTATTCTAAGTGGTAAGAACTGTGCTATAAGTAAATATGCAAAATATAAACACTGAGCATTTGTTTCAAAATGGGGACAGTACTGTAGACTGGTTTACTTATCAGAGTGCAGTTGGAAAAGAATGCCGTTTTTCTCAGGGAAAATGCACATATGTGCCGAAGAAGGCAGAAGAGAAAAGGTCAAATTCTCCCATAAGAGTTCCTCACAGCACTTTGCATCAATCTTTTATGGGTTCATGCTCCTCTTTCTATATTGTTTCCCCAACTCTGCTTATATAGTTTATAATAAACCATAGCTGCTAGAAAATATGATGAAAGATAAAGAGTGATTTTGAAAGTAGTTCTGCAAAGGCCTGTTTATATTTCCTGTCAGGTCATTTTTCAGAAAAGAAAAAAAAAAAGGCTTGCATTAAACTATAAAATGTGGTCTTTTCACTGTTTTATGCAGCAGTCCTGTAAGTTTACTTACATTGCACACATTTTAACCTCTTCGTTACTGAATTCAGATTTTTTCTGATCATGATATCTGGGGATACTTTGTAACAAGCATACCGTGCTATGCTATGTCACCCATAACCCTAGAGAAAGATGGTCAAAACTCATTGTTACATAACTGTTTTCTATATGTTAAATATTCTATGTCAGGCTGTCATGTGCATTTAATAAAAACAGTTTCGAAACTAAACCAAAGCAAACCTTATGTCTGCTCCTGCAAATCTATCATTTGACCGGCTGCCAAGGCACTGTCCTTCCCAGTCAGCTACAGCTGGACTCAGAGCACCCACTCTGGGTGCCTGAAAGTTTGCCTGGCTCTCAGCAGGATATCACTTAGGTCACCTCATAGACAGGCCTCAGCTGTGTGCAGCAGAGTTACAGTGCCCCTGTGTGCCAAGGAGGGAGTGGGTCTGAGGCCGACCGAAAGGGAACGATTGGTGCAGGGGTGTTTCTGTGCCCCCGGCCCCTGCACTTGGGCTGGAGATGCTCCTTGAGTAGCTCAGTCCACAGTACATATTCCTCTAGAGCAGGTGCCTGCGGAAGAGGTGGAAGGGAGTCCCACCACCTTTTTCATACTGGTTAAAGCACCACCACCTGGGAGTGGGTTGTTGGCTCCCCTCCGCCCCTGGTGATTGAAAGCCACGTCTTCTGTTTCCCAGGGACTGCTTTAATCATTAGCCAGGCAATAACTGGGGAAAAGATTACCTTCCATCCTTCCCACAGAAGTTACTGACCCTTGGGTGGCCCTCCATTTAGAAAAAGGCTTTGACCACAGCTGAAAGAGTCTTTTTTCAATCATTTTAAGCTCCTAACATTTTATGAACAAAAACACATTCTGTATATTTCAAGTACACTGGCCCTGATATTTGGCCTGATTTTTTACCCTGGTCAGAGTACTGTAAGGACAGATTTACATAACCAGTTCAGTTCAGGTGGGAGATTTCTGTGGCTTTTCTAAAATATAGGCCTGAACTAATACACCGAGAATGCAAGTGAGCACTTAATGGATTGAAAGGTGGGCCCAGAAACAGTCTTGCACCTGAACTCACTTTTACTTCAGCATCAGTTACTAGTCAGCCCAGTACTAAGGCTTCAGAAAAAAAAAATGTCACCTTTGCATTCAGAAAGGAATTGATGAATGAAAACCAGAGGTGTATTTAAAATATAAAAAGCAAATAGAGTGCACACAATGAAGATCTTAACATGCTTAATTGTCTACATCTGTG